TCATTGGTAAGGATTACCCCCTTATAGACCGCTAAAAAGATCAATGATGTCAGTGGGAAGATATCTCTAAAATAATTGCGAAAAAGTAAAGTATCCCCATTGGAAGATGTCCCCTCTATTACTGTTCTGGGGAAACCCAAAATGTGGGCTTTTCTTTGACTTTTACTTTCAATGATAATGGTAAACAGGACAAATTAAGAGGGTAAATCTCCCTAACAAGGACACAGACAGTTCTAATCCACCTCCACTCTATCCAAAAGTTAAAAGAAAACATTTCCTTTAGTTATCCTTTAAGTAAATCAACCCCAATGATTTCCATATTTCCATATTTAGGTTTATATGCTTTATTGTTGAGAGAACTGATCCAAAAATGCATAAACTACTCAGCATTGCCTATTACCACTACTTAACCGCCTACCGCCCACCATATAAGGTAATGACGGGCGCAAGGCGGTTCTCTCATTTTGGGAGGACGTCATATGACGTCCTCCCACTTTAACCGCGCAGTGTGGCGAACTTTGGTGCACGTGTCCCTCGGACACAGTGGATCACCAAACAGCGGAAAGAGCCGAAGATGTGGGCTTGGTCCTGTGATCAGCTGTGTCCAATCACAGCTGATCGCATGTAAATAGGGAAATGTCGGTTATTGTCATTTCTCTCCTCACAAGCTGTCATGCTGACAGCTCAAGAGGAGAGGAGAGCCGGTAATTGGCATCCCTTAGAGGGGACATGTACACTGATAATCAGGGCACTGATGATCAGTGTGCCCTGATGATAAGTGTAGCCCCAGCAGTGCCACCTGTCAGTGTCCATCAATGCCAGCTGTCAGTGCCCATCAATGCCACCTGCCAGTGCCCATCAGTGCCACATCAATGCCACATATCGGTGTCTACCAGTGCACATCAATGCCTTAGTTCTCCAGAGACTCTCACTCCTGATTGGCTAAGGCAGCAGCGGGAGCCATTGGCTGTCAATCACAACCAGTAAGCCAATCAGGAGAGGGAGGTGGCAGGGCCAAGTTGCTTGGGAGCGCACCAGTTCAGGTGCCCCATTAGCAAGCTGCTTGCTATGGGGGCACCAAACAGGAAGGAGGGGCCAGGAGCACAAGCAGGGGGCCCAAGAAGAGGAGTATCAGGGCTGCTCTGTGCAAAACAATTGCACAGAGCAGGTAAGTATAACATCTGTGTTATTAAAAAGCAAACAAACAAGACTTTAGCATCAATTTAATTAAAATGCCAGGTTAGTACAACCCCCCCCCCCAAAAAAAATGACCCTGGAAAGTAGACACCCCAAGGAATTTGATAAAAGGCATGGTAAATATTTTTCAGATATAATTTTTTTCACAGGGTTTAGTTTTCTTTCTTAATTTTCCAAAAATTTGTGGCAACAAATGAAATCTGCAAAATGCTCACCATGCACCTTAGCAAATATCTTGGAGTGTCTACTTTCCAAAAAAGGATCATTTGAGAAATCACTTTTATTGTTATTGTTAAAAGGTATTACACTGTTCAACAAATTTTTATTTTTTGCCAGTTTTGGAAACAAAAGGATCCATTTCCTAATGAATTTCACATTCTGAGTTCAAATATAACAATGAAATTTGTCAATTGGCTCTAGTTTTTCTGTAAACGGAAAGTTTTCTACTATAGGCGTAATGACTACATAATGCACAATAATTATATAGATAGATGTCTTTCCACAAATATAAAGCAAGTGATATTGACTACATAACAAAGCCTAAATGACATAATATATTGCATAGGATTACCAAGAAAAATTATAGCCATAAGCTAAGTTGAATCATTTTAATACTTAGGATTCTCACTAGTTTTGTCTTCAGTTTGTGTCGGTTTTGCTTCTCTTGGCTTTTCTCTTGTATTCGAGGAAAGGGCTATCTCTTACAACTGCACGTGTGACTACACGCTTCAGGTTCTTCCTCACTTGACTCAACCACGAAGGATTCTGGTGCTTTAGGAATTGGTAGCCCCTCTCCATGAGGAACTGGACGTATTGCCGATTGAATATTTGGATAGTGCACAGATAACTTTTTCTTCTTATTTAGCCCTTTTACAATTGGAGGCACCATACAAAAGTAACAATTACTAACATGATCTGTTGGCTCTCTCCAAATCATTGGCACAGCAAAAGGCATAGATGCCTTTTTTCCATTCAACCATTGCTCCAGTGCCGTCCCACAAGAATTGCAGCATATATGTGGTGCCCAGCTCTTGTCCTGGTCTCCTATCTTGCAGCCAAAATACAAGTTGTAGGCTTTCTTAATCATTCCTGTTATCCTCCTTTTTTGTGAGATAAAAGTTATTTCACCGCAGACATAGCAGAAATGATCTGCTTTATTCACACAAGTTCGAGGCATTACTGAGTAGCCTATATAAGCATAAAACGAAATGTAAAGACGCTGTCGAACTACAATCAGCTACAGATACTGCAGCTTTTATGCAGTGAAGTGATGCAATTAAAGGCTAATATTGCATCATCTCAGTATACATGCAATTTTCTATTGGTCACCAGTATCAATTGCGCAATATGCAGCTGAAGTTGCATCATAATTTTGAATGGCTTACGTCATTAGATGGGTGAATATATCATGGAAACTAGAGCCAATCAACATTTTTTAGGGTCATTTTCGTTTTCAGCACCCCAAAATTATGTAAGATTAGCTAATTTTATGCCCAAAACCTTTTACCTGTTGAACAGTCTATACACAAAAGCTTTACCTTTCATTACTATTTTAAACTGAATGGGTTATTTTACAATGTGAGGGTTTACATATACTACAAGTGTTACTTTAAAAGCAAGAACATCTAGCAAGCGTAGAGTGTCAAAGGTATATGCTAGGTGCTCACAATCATTACAAACTGATCCTTTCATGATCATGTTGTTTCATAGTTTTTGAGAAAGGTATTTGCTGGTTCACCCAAGGTTACAGAAATTACATTTAGCAACATACACTCAGTGGATGCTTTATTAGGTGCATGTGTTAGTCATTACTAATAAGCCAACCATCAGGTCATGTGATTGCAACCCGCTATATAACTATGATAAACAGGTTCAGTTTTTGTTCAACTAAAGAATACATTGGCAACTTTGACTGTCACAATGATTATTGTTGCTAGACATGATGCTTTCAGCTTTTCGGAAACTGCTGAACTTTTGTGACTTTTATGAATTGTAGTTTTAGAAATAGGAGGGCATGGGGGTGAAAAACTAAAAACAACCAGTTACTGATATTTATGTACATGAAAAAAGCCCTGTTTATGAAAGAGCCCACAAGTGCACAAAAGTCTAATGACTACTGTAATTTTGTAGGGTGCTTTAATGGGCTGCAGGAGCAGGTTGTCACAACAGATTCAGGTTCTGTTAGGTAAATACAAGAAATTGGGTTTTTGGGTGTATCAAGTTGAATGTTGGAAAAGCACTTGTAAGCAGGTTGGAAACTGCTTAGCAAGTTAGTAGCTGGTCCAGGCTGGGGGGAGGCCATTCGTTCTTAGTTTGCGGACTTTTAAGTCCCAGCCAGCCCACCTGTGTTATAAAAAGGGGGAAAGCTGGTTCCGGCGAGTCTTGCTTTTCCAGCCTGGAGGGCCTGCAACCCTGTGGATTCCAGAGAACCACCAGTAATCAACTTCACCTGTATGGACTTTGGCCTCACAGAGGTATGCCTGGGCAGCCATTTTCTGGTAGTTAGCGTAGGGAAATGGAGAATGTTCATATTGAACTGTATTGCCACATTAATTCAGTAGAAGTTAAATTAACTGTGTCAAACCTGGTCTGCTACTTCCAGGCCCCTCATATCCTCTTTAGTCACTGGGGGGCTATCATTCTGGTGGCTAACAAGAAAAGTAGGAGGGGAGCCTCCGCTGATGAGCATACAATCCCAGTATGGGGCAATGCAGTAGAGCAACACTTGGACTCTGCTTCCTCTTTACTTTATTCCATGTGTGAGTAAAGTAAAGAGGAAACAAAATACACAGGACCAGAACCCAACTAATCTGGGGCATGTCCACCAAGTATGCAAAACATCCCCTCCCAGGCCACAAACCCGGAAGCAGTGGTCACTGTAGGATGGGTTTGCATGAGTGATACAGGAAGGAACCCAGTACCAATGTAATAGCACCTTATAAGCTGCCATTTGTTGAGTTTATTTAAATCTAGTTTATTTACAGTATCTCTTTAAACGGTAAGGGCACACATCATACACTTAACTGACTGGTGTCACAAGGAAGATCACCTAGGCAGTTGCAGATTGTGTCTCCTGGGCTTTGCCTGTCTTAATGCACCAAAATAAATATTCAAGAAAAGTGTCATCATTGTGCACAGTCATAGTTTTATTAAAGTGGGTGTAAACCTCAGACGTGACATATTAACAAAGCATATCCCTCTACAGTGTTCTTGTCTCAATTAAGCGCATGAATAGGTTGATTTACTAAAATTTTAACTGCATCCAATCAGCATGACATGTGAAATAACACTGCTTCCTATGGTGCCTGTTTACCTACTGCACACTATATTGCAAAAAGTATTGGGATTCCTGCCTTTTCACACACATGAACTTTAATGGCATCCCTGTCTTAGTCCATAGGGTTCAATATTGAGTTGGCCCACCCTTTGCAGCTATAACAGCTTCAACTCTTCTGGGAAGGTTGTTCACAAGGTTTAGGAGTGTGTCTATGGGAATGTTTGACCATTCTTCCAGAAGCGCATTTTTGAGGTCAGGCAGATCAGATGTTGGACGAGAAGGCCTGGCTCGCAGTCTCCACTCTAATACATCCCAAAAGTGTTCTATCAGGTTGAGTTCAAGAATCTGTGCAGGCCAGTCAAGTTCCTCCACCCCAAACAATCCATGTCTTTATGGACCTTGCTTTGTGCACTGGTGCACAGTCATGCTGGAACAGGAAGGGGCCATCCCCAAACTGTTCCAGCATGGAACTAAGGGGCCAAGCCCAACCCCTGAAAAACAACCCCACACCATAATCCCCCCCACCAAACTTTACACTTGGCACAATGCAGTCAGGCAAGTACTGTTTTCCTGGCAACTGCCAAACCCAGACACGTGCATCAGATTGCAAGACAGAGAAGCGTGATTTGTCACTCCAGAGAACACGTCTCCACTGCTCCAGTGGCAACTTACTTTACACCTCTGCATCTGATGCTTTGCATTGCACTTGGTGATGTAAGGCTTGGATGCAGCTGCTCGGCCATAAAAACACATTCCATGAAGCTCTGTTGTTGTGCTAATATGAAGGCCACATGAAGTTTGGAGGTCTTTAGCTATTGACTCTGCAGACAGTTGGCTACCTCCGCACACTGTGCACTTCAGCATGCGCTGACCCTGCTCTGTCATTTTAAGTGGCCTATCACTTGGTGGCTGAGTTGCTGTTGTTCCCAGCTGCTTCCACTTTGTTCTAATAGCACTAACAGTTGTCCGTGGAAAATTTAGTATCAAGGAAGTATCACGGATGGACTTATTGCACAGGTGGCAACCTATCATGGCACCACGCTTGAATTCACTGAGCTCCTGAGAGTGACCCATTCTTTCACAAATGTTTGTAGAAGCAGTCTGCATGCCTAGGTGCTTCATTTTATACACCTGTGGCCATCGAGGTGGTTGGAACAACTGAATCCAATGATTTGGAGGAGTGTCCCAATACTTTTGGTAATATAGTGTATGTCCTGTGCATTGGTGGTGCAGATTCAGTGCAGTTTTAGAGAGAGTCCTATATGATTCCTGAGCAGTGTGGGTCGGTTTAGGTCCGGATTACAGGCTATTGACATCTATGGGAACTGTTTCTTAAACACATGTGTGAACAGGATAAAATCCTGAGCTAATTCATCCCTGAATGTGATGTAAACCTGACATGAACCGTTGAACAACTACTATGTCAATTAGCTGTGAAACCTGAGCTTCAATCTGCACCGCACATGTGTATCAGCTCTAAGTCCTCATGCACACTTGATGTTTTTACAGCGGCTATTTCTGGCTTTTGATGTTTTTTCTACAGCCAGTAAACCCCTCAGCATGTTATCCTATGTGTCCATGCACACATAGACTGTAGTCAATGTTTTTTGGCTGGGACGTTTTTTGGCTGGAAAAAAAGCCCAGGACTAGTGGGGTTTATAGTGGAGTTTTTTTAACTGTAAAAATGCTCTAATGCTGTAAAACTCCGCAAACCGGCGTTTTTGGACTTTTTTTTTTACCCCCCCAATATTTTTTTTTTTGTAAAAAGATGCAAACGTGGAAAAACATAGCTAATTGCAGAAAAACACAGCTAAACGCTAATGCAGAAACGCTAAAAAATCTGAAAAACTCACGTTTTTAACCAGCCTTATCAAAACGTCCAGTGTGCATGAGGGGCAAGTGTCATTTCTGTCTGCTGCTCGTTTCTCTGCTATCAGCATGAATCACTTCTAACAAGTTTTCTTGACATCAAGAGAAAAATGGTGACAGGGGAGGGACCTCCAGCAGATTGACACCCTCAGCTCTGTTCCACTGAGCTGTGTAAAGGGGTGTGTGTCTATTCCCTCCAATCAGCTGTCAGAGATCTCACTGATTTCTGCAGAGTGTAATTTCAGCTCCCACCCCCATTTTTCTGAACTCTCAGACAAGCTTTATAAAGTCTACACTTTGAAAGGATGTAGAGAAGAGAATATTGTAGATAAACAGGTACAATGTATGTAGGAGGTTTTGTTACATCTCTCTGTATCACCTGAAGCCAGCCACTTCACTGGGCATAAAGTATGTAATACTTATGTAATAATTACAACTACTTTAACTCAAGCCACAGAAACAGTCAGTAATTGATATAAAACCTTGACATATTTTTCACATAAAAGTGCTTACTTATACTTATGTAGCTCTTAACATCTTACACTCTGCCTGAGTGCAAACACAATAAGCACCATAGAGATGTTCTCATATCCATTATTGTGCAGCTGGAGAGCTGCTACAGTCTTAAAGTGGTAGTAAAGTGCATTCTTTGATTTTTTATCTACAGGCAAGTTAATAATAAAGGTTACCTGTAGGTAAAATGAATATCTCCTAAACGTGCACCATTTAGGAGATATTCCAGAGAGTAGCAGTTGGAGACATCACCTATGCATGCGCTTTGAAGAAATGGCATGCACGTGCCATTCCTTCAGAGCTGTGTACCATGCAGGGGAGCGACATCAACGCGGCTCTGCCAGTCGGATGTCTGGAGACTGTGAACCTGGAAGGAAGACCAGGTGAAGATGGAAGCCCTGTCAGCGGTGACAGCATGCCACTGCAGGGCTTCGTTCTAAGGTAAGTACTTCATAATGTGCTGGTATGCAATGCATACTAGCACATCATAATAATACCTTGCAGGGGGAAAATCGTATTTTTGTTTGTTTGTTTGTTTAAGAGACTTTATTACTGCTTTAAGCTGGCCATACGCTGGTTGACATGAAAGAAAAGTGACTCATCTATGGTCAGCCTAAGGCTCAGACTGAATAAAGGCTCTGACTTCTTGGAACCCACCTCCACTCTTCTCTTCATCTGCAAGCCAATGAAGCCATTGATACTTTGACATTTGTGTACGGTGGGAACAGGGCTCCATGTAAAAAACATTGAGACTTCTGTTCATTATCCAGTTGGATTTGGGGGCACTTTTCAGACACACAAGAAAGCTTTTGTCACGGTACAAAACCTATCTGCAGGCACCTTACGATCCGTACACTTAAAAGAAAACGTTATTTTCATTTAAAAAAATTAACATGTATAATTGACGCCTAGTCCATTTTGCAACTTCAGAGTATTACCATTTCAATTTCATGATCTGCCAAAAAAACATTAGTTCTCGGTAAGCATGACAACACTGCTGGTATTCTGCACATTGTGTTTGTACAAAACACCACCAGAAATGTTATTTCACGCTGATGTGATTGGCTCATTGCTTTTCCCAGAAGTGATTCTCTTACTACAACACCAGGACAAGGCTTGTTTTTTTTAATGCAGGCAGTCTCTCCAGTTTAGCCCTTAGGAAGTGACTGGGATGTGTACAGCATAAGGCCTTTTTACAGCTACTGTTTTAGGTGTCAGGCATTTTTTTCTACAGCCAGTAAACTCACCAGCATGTTATCCTCCTACATGTCCATGCACACATAGGCTTTTATCAGCTTTTTTGGTAGGGGTGTTTTGAGGCTGGACCCCCCCCAATCTCCTGCATTTGAAGAGGAGTTTTTCAGCTGTAAAAATGCTCTGATGCTGAAAAATGCAGCTATCTGGCATTAATGAGTGCTTTTGAGCTTCAAGCTTTTGTGGTAGTATAGTTTCTCTAAAAAAACGCTAAAAACTCAAATTCTGAAAAACGCTAAAAATGCTAATGCAAGGCTAATGCAATCCTTAGGGAAAAAAACCCTAAAAAAAGTTTTCTATAACTATTGAAATGGTACAGACCTTCACCTGTAGGGCTGGAGGAAGTATCTATGGGCTAGCAGTGCAGTGATGTCACCAATGGCTCAGGGTTTGGTTCAGCAAGGGTGAAAGCCAAATAAGTGTGTCAAACCCGACCCTATTGAAATGAATGGGAGCTGAATCATTCCTACTAAAAATGGCCATTTTCTGGGCAAATAGGCTAGAAGGTGTCAAAAATAAATCTCTTCAGCCCGGAACAGTGATTTTTTTTAGCACTGACATTTACAAAGCTAAAATGTTTTAAAATCGCTAGCAAATGACTTTGACTGCAGTCATTGCCAGCTTCTTTGTTTTACAATAAACAGCACCTCCCCCCTCCAAGAGTTTTGTATCCCTGGAAAGGCACCCTCCCATGTTGAGGGCATGTAGCTTGGTATGTTCAGGAGGTGGGGACACATGCTTGCCCCCCCCCTTCCTGGCCCACCAGGCTATATGCTAGACTTAAGGAACTGGTATGTATTTTAGGGGTAACTCCACATCAAAAACATTTCTTGAAGTCCCCCTAAGAATCCATACCAGATCCCTAATCCAAGAGCCCATGTTCATGAGGACAAGGGTCTCTTACCCACATTGCCCACAATCCCTGCCTGGTGGTTGTGGGGGTTTGCAGGTGTGGGGGGGCTTATTGGAATATGGAAACCCCCCTTTAATAATGAGGGGGGCCTCAAATATGCCCCCCATGCTTAAAAGGGTGGGGGTTCCATATGACATCAGTGGTTTCTTGGGACCCTGCAGGTGCAAGCACCCATGGCTTCCTTAGGAGCCAATGAATGTGGGAGGCCGTCATATATAGAGGCAGTAGAAATGTCACTTCTATAAATGATGAATGGCTCCCGCCAAACATGGGGCCAAACGGGTTAAAGCTTGAGTGTTTGTCCTACAGCTAAAGATCAAACCAGACTATCAGCTTTTCCCCTAGTCAATGCACTTGTACTCCATTGAGAAAAACAATCCCCCCCTGAGCTGTCAGCACCCATGCAGCAGCTAGAAATTTTAAATCTCTGCTCTTCTCCCTCTCTGTTGGCACTTCCAATATGGACCAGATAGATCTTGATTGATCAGCGCTGTCACTGTTAGAATTGATCTTGTCTGTGCTGAAGGGGAAGAGATAGAAGAGCGGGGATTTTAAATCCTGGACCACTGGACTGACTACAGGGGTACTGACAGCTCGGCAACCCCAGAGGTAAGTACAGTGGGGACCAAGTTGGGGAGGTGTACGGTGTTATAGCACCTTTACATTGTTTTCTGTAAAGGTGAACTAACCCTTTAAAAAAGTAGGCTTACAAAGTTTGCATACCCTAATAGGTTCACTTTAAAGGGAAAATCCTTTGACTGCCTTAGCAGCTCATAATGAGCAATAATGTTTTCGTATTCAATGGTATTTTTGGATTGTCAGCTTATAAAAGTCTAGTCTTATTAACCTGTCAAATCCAACTCAGATCAGTACACATTCTATCTGACATGAGCATCTCCTGTTCACTAATAAAACTAAATTAAGCAAAATAACTAAAAAAACAAACAATTAACACACTGCAATTAACTTCACCATATGTATGCATCTGGACTGTGCCCCAGATACAGAATACGTATGTTTCCTATTGCTCAGCAACATTGCCGTATCATTTTTTTCCACCTCCATTGTACTCAAAGTGCTCATATTATTACTAGTCTGCATCTTTTGTTGCCTTGTAAAAGAAAAGGCATCTGGTTGCTGGGAGATAGGACAGTCCAGCAAAGCAGCAAGCAAAGATTTATTACCCATCACCAGCCAGCCACCCTCGCCCCTATCACACCACTGAGGTTACTTTTAACATGGACCACTTGTCTTCTTGTAAAAACTGGTGAACACATTAAATGATCCAATTAATAACAGCTACATCCAGCCAATGAAAGAAAACAAACTGGCACCTAAAACACACAGAAAACATTTTCTGATCTGTTACTATTAGCATTTACCTGTACTTTATTTTGCTCTCTTTCTCATGTTTAACATTTTTTTTAGAATAACACAAAAAGTACCAACTGTGATCACAGAACGTTTTCCTCCATACCTCATTTCAACATGGTTTACACTTAAAGTGATACTAAACAGAGGATTGTCAATTGCCATAATTCATTCACAAATATCATATATACAGTATCATGGCTCTGTATTTTTTTTAAATCCTCAAAGTACCTTATTCCTGCAACACTTGTGTATGGTGACAATCTCCCTGTTGTTTGATATGTGCAGGGAAAGATCATTC